GATGATCTAAAACTGTGGGGGGGGGGGGGGGGGTGAATGACTGAATAACTGCCTCAGTTCTCTGCTTCTTGTAGTCAAGGTCACTTGGCTCTACTCAGTGCTGACAGTGATGTTAGTTGGTGGTTTATGTACACAAGTCTTAAAGTTTAGGAGCTGTCATTCAAAACTGCAAACATTCTGGGTCTGTGTGAGATAGAACAGTGCCATAATTCTGTGCTTAAGAATCAACTCTTCTTAAAGGATTATGTATTCACTTTTTTTTTTACTTAATACAATGAAGAAATTCTTAGGTAGCTAATCCCCTTTGTAGGGCTCACAACCTTCAGCAGGCTTGATTTTTGAACTCTGTAAGCTAGAAACACTACCCTACTCTTATCAGATTCTATCTAAGAAGAAATTAAACATCCAAGTGTGTGTAATCACATTCTGGATGGCATGAGACAGCTGTCTTAGAATACTGCCAACTGTTTGCATGGTTTTAAGTGTGCACATTATCCATCCAACTCAGCGTTTCCAGGGAAAAGGTTTGTAGATCCTAATTTAGGGACCTGAAGAAGACTGATACTAATTAGAACGAACAAAATTTTGTGCCCTTTAATGGGGTTCCAGACCAGAGTTTTCTACAATGAAGCAAAGTTTGATTCCTTTCCCTTTCCATCTACGCTGCTTGGAGAAAATGAAAGCATGAAATCATCACTCTCCTGGTGAATCATTGTGGGAAAGTAAGTTTAGCAGAATGTGTTGTCCACTTAGCTGAAACAAGGTGGTTGGAAGATCACATTGTTTTTTTGGTTTCTGTCTTTTTTCCAAGTAAGAATCCCAAGGGCAGCTGAGTGGCAATAGATAACTCTATGCTTAATAAATACATATTGCTGAATGAGCAAGCCAATTATTAGCCTGGTTATCAGCCAGCCGTTAGAGATTTTGCTTTCTTTGGTTAATGAAAACATCTGGAGTTTGAAAATGACTATAAAGTGAAGAGATTCTAAAGTGCCATTATGGTGGTACTGTCCCCTCAGAGATCAGCAAAGAAATTCCAAGACAATATGACTTTAAACAAATGATCAAATTGTTAGTACTCCCCTGTGGTTATTAGCACCAGTAACCATAACAATAAATCTACCTTTAACAATAAGAATCCATCAAAGTGACTAACATGGTTAGGAACATGGTATAAGTTTGAAATATGGTTTAAGAAGACACTAGACTAAGAGAACTCAGAGCTAATCCTCACTTTTGGAAGTTTTCTGGGACTTTGGGGAGGTTCCTTACTCAACCTCAGGATCTTTTGTGAGTAGAGTCTGGACTAATTGGTGTGGAATGGACTGTTGGGGGTCTGATAGTTTATAGTTTCAAAAAGGACTTTCCCTGCTGGCTGGATTCAAAGGTGAATTAGCAAGTAAATTCAGCATCCAGCTTTTATTCCGCCACCTTCTCTCCTTCCTGTCTGACTCCTTTGAGTTTTGTTTAATTGTGTTTGTTGAGGGAAAGGATAAGAGGCTAATTGCTACCTGGTAGCAGACAAAGGCATGATAAAGGCTCAATTCACCCTTGCAGTTGCATGTCACAAAACAAGATAGAGTTCTTTATAGACAAGAGTGGTTGTTACCCAGCCCAGAAACTGAAAATAGCCTTGTGCAAGATCAGTTGTATGATTTCAAAAGTCCTAGATTGAGAAAGCATAAAGACTACAAAAAGAGCTTTGTTGTAGAGACTCCATCTCTATCATAGCAGCTGCTATAATTATGCTTGTTGATATAGGTATACAGATAAAAATCATAAAGTGGTGTTCACACCTAGCCATTTACAAATGAGTCACAATTTGGCTTAAAAGATTTAGAGAAGTAATGATCCCAGTCCAGTTCTGCATTTTGTCAGCTTACTTCTTAGGACACAGGGTGGTGCCTCCTTTGAAGGCTGCCCAGACAGGAATTTGACCTGTGTTGGGGAAAGTGTTAGGGAGAGCCTGAAGGAAATCAGAAAGGGGACACATGATCCCTGAGAGGCTGAAGACTTCTCCTTGGGAGGTAAGTGCTCAGTGAATTGTATCCCAGGAAGGATTGTGCCACAGAGAAGAGATCAAAGGAGGAAAAAGACAAAGTTTCCTACTAGGGAGAGAGATGTAGAGGGACATGTAAACAGCAAAGCAAATAGCTTTGGGTGAGTTTAAGAAGAGGTGGACATTAGTGATTTCTGGGCATCTGAAATAATCAAACTCATTTAAAATCTACTGAGAAAACAATGAAGCCAAGAAACCAGTTCTCCTGGGAAAGCACAAACCATTTGCCACTAAATGAGGTATTAGGTAAGTGAGGAAACCTAGATAACTTAGAGGATTATTTCAGTTATAGTAACTTATTGAATGGACCCCATAAATTATATAAAATACTGGGAACTAGGTATCACCAGCGTATTCAAAAATTAACAAAGCCTTTGTGTTGGATAGCTTTAGTTGTCAACGTGACACACCTGGTTCTAACCTCTAGGATGCCTCAATTGGTGATTTGCCCCCATTGAACTGGCCTGTGACCACGTCTGTGGGGCATCTTCTTGAGTGTTGAGTGATGTGGGAGGGCCCAGCCCACTGTGGGTGGTGCCATCCCTGGGCAGGTGGGCCTGTGTTACATAAGAAAGCAGGCTGAGCAGGGGCCAGGGGAGCAAGCCAGTAAGCAGTGTTCCTCCATAGCTGTGCTCCAGCTCCTGCCTCCAGGTCCCTGGCCTGAGTTCCTACCTTGGGCTCCCTCAGTGATGGACTGTGACCTGGGAGATGTAAGCTAAACAAACCCTTTCCTCCCCAAGTTCGTATTGGTTAGTCATTTTGTCATAACAATGGAGAAACAAGCTAGAACAGTTGGAGAATTTGGAAAGGGAGTGAATGGCAAACTCACATTATAGGAACCGAGAAAATTTCACATTATTGTTGAAGCTTGGTAGTACAGTTTTGTGAGCAATTAATACTCAAAAATTAAAGTAGACATAGAATTTATATTCTAAAGATGTAAGCTGAATAAACCCTTTCCTCCCCAAGTTCGTATTGGTCAGTGTTTTGTTATGGCAATTGATAACAAACTAGAAAAGCATTTCTGAAGAGCAAAGAAGACCTGACTAAGTGCTTTTTCTCAATAAATTCAGACCTAGAAGGAAACAAAGGCAACTTAAGGAGTCTAGGTATCCCCTTGTTCAGGAATATTGGGATGTTCTGGGAAATTCTACAACCACCAAAGCCACCAGGGGCTTGAATTCTTGTTTCTCAAATTCAAGAATTAGATTCAGACCACAGAGAGTGAGTTTTAGAGAAAAGTTCTAAAGTGAGTTTTAGAGAAAAGCTTATAGGTTCGTAGTTGAGAGTTGAAGAGGGAGAGAGCCATGCCATTTGAGTTACGCATGGAGGTCAGCCACATGGCAAAAAGGGGAGCTTCTGAGAAGAGAAGAGAGAAAAGAGTAAGGAAGCCCAGAACACACACCCACACAAAAACAGGTGTTCTAGCCAGTACCTTCAAGAAAGAGAAGAAAAAACATCTTTCTGACTCAGGGCTCAGAAAGGTGGGCAAACCCAATAGAACTTCAAGACAGCTCTTACTGACAGCTGGGGCTAGCAGGGATTCTGGGTAAGAAAAGTATTATCTCTTTAGCACTACTGAAGGTGAATCTGCCTTCCTGAGAGGTAGTCCCTTGGCCAGGCAATAGGCTGGCCCAACTCTACTAACTCTTAAGAGAAGAAACAGAGCCATGGCCTTCAGTGCTTCTATAGCCCCCTCAAAAGCTCCAAAGCTGAGAAATGATTTCTTTCCTCCAGGCATGTCCAGCCCACAGCCTACAAGCTTAAAGCCACTGAGGATAGCT